CATAGTAGGTTCCTTTTGGGGATTACCTTAAAGGATTCTATGTATGAGCCCCAAAAAGGAACTACTTTAGGGCGCATCGGGTCCGACACAGTTTCGGGTTCGGTTTAAGGCTCAGGGCTTCCAGGGCTTGCAAGTAGGGTTTAGGGTTTAAGGCTCAGGGCTTCCAGGGCTTACAAGCGTTTAAGGGTCAGGGCTTCCAGGGCTTACAAGTAAGGTTTAGGGTTTAAGGCTTAAGGCTTTTAGTGGTTTACAAGAAGGTTTTCGGGGTTCTATAGGGTTTACGAGACTTACTTTCAAGGCTCCGGGCCCTAGGGTTGAGGGTTAAGGGTTTAGGGGTTTAGGGGTTTAGGGCTCTGCGGATATTCGCTGTGTGGTTGAACCTTGGCAGTGTGGTTTTAGGATTCTTGCAGGGTTGTAGGAAGTTAGATCTATCTATTTAAAGCTTAAAGCTTCAGTGTAGGAGAAGGGTCGAAAAGTCCAGCTGGATGGTGTCCAGACTGTCGGCAACTACGGAGCTTAAATCAGTTGCTCGGCTTTTTTGTTTCACATAGCTGCAAAGCTGCCATTTAACGGGAATCAGGATTTGTGAGTATACTGTAACTATTCAGTGTTATCACTACAAGTGATCGTGTATTGACAATTACTTAGTAGTAGTTCAAGCCGGCTGAGGGTGGCAGTGCAAGACCTACGTCTCTCTCTTTTGCGACCTGCCGTCACTGACCGCCCAACGCCGCAGCTGGGGGTTTAGGGTTTAGGGTTTAGCGTTTAGGGTCTAGGGTTTAGGGCTGGCTGCTGATCTCTGCGGGATGATTGGCCCGACGCCTCGTGTCAGTGGCCGCTGTTAGAGGCACTCCTCGAGCTCCACATGGCGGTGATGAGTTTTCAGATTGCCGCCCCATGGGTCTTTTTGCCATTGCTCATTATATTCATAATAATCATGATAGTAATAACAATCATAAACAAAATGCGAGTTATAAGACTTGGTGCTTGGTGTCCCTGCCACCATGTACTCGTCGGATGTGTCAGGCACTCCTCAAGACTCACGTAGCGGCAATCCACTTGTGGTTCGCGGGCTTGTTGTTGCCAGTTGCTAATTCTGGGGTCTTGTTGCCATTGCTCACTGTGTCCCTGCCAAGGTGCACTCGTCGGATGTGTCAGGCACTCCTCGAGACTCACGTGGCGGCGAACCACTTGTGGTTCGCGGGCTTGTTGCTGCCAGTTGCCACCCCTTGGTTGTTGTTGCCATTGGTTCTGGTGTCCCTGCCAAGGTGTACTCGTCGGATGCGTCTCTTCGGCAGGGATGCGCGAGCTTGTTGTCCACGACGCATCCCAGTTGCAGCCACGATCCCGCAGTCCCATTCCCCGGTCACCAGAGCGACTGTCATGATGACCACTCTCATGCCATTGTCCACCACTCTGTCGGGCTTTGATTTGGTCGTCAGGTTCAGGGTACCGTTCCGTTTTGAGATGCCGTCCCCGAAACCATCGTCAGCACAGTGGCAATGACGGTCGGGAGACAAAGAGTTCTGTGCCCGTCTAGGGCTCGGCTCGGCCTCACGCGGCATCGCTGCGGCCTCGGGGGCCAAAAGCTGGCGCTCCTGGCTCGGAGAAGAGCTGCGAGGTCTTGGTGCCACCTCCAAGACGCCCGTTTTGGGTTGCAAGCCCACTTCTCTCGCAAACGGATGCTGATGCTGGGGTCCCCACTCCCTCCTGGCCGGCATGGCTCCCTTTCGCCTTGTCTTGGAGCCTTGTCGGGGTAGGCGACCTCTCTTTGGTGGTGGACGTGGTGCAGAGGGCAGCATATGGCTTGGACCGCCCCTCTGATCCAGGTAGAGATTCTCCTTACTTCCCCAAGAAGCCAGGGAAATCAAAGGTTAATAAGTATTTAGATTAAAACTAACTTATATAAGAACCCAAAAAGTTTATAAAGGTTGGGTCTTGGAGAACTAAGTCTCATGCCCCTCGTAGAGCCTGGAGGCATAGCGAAGCCTCCTCGGCTCCTCATCCTCCTCGGGCTCCTCATCTTCAGCTTCCTCCGGATCCGAAGCCAAGAGTCGCCAAAGCATCGAGGGCTTATATGGGAGTTTCCGAAATTAGGGATAGCTTATTTTGGGGTCCTTATAATAAGGAACCTATGATTTAGGGTACTATCTTAGGGTCCCCTATTTTCGGAAACCCCCATATGGCTATGGTTTAAGGGGAATCCTCAGGGTTCAGGGTTTTGGGTCTTCCAGACGTTCCGATGACCGAATCAGAATGCCAAGAGTGGCTCCATGGCTGGCACACACATCTGCACCAACACTTTGCGCACAAGCTTACCTGACATTGAGTTGGGAAGCCTTGTCTGACCTGTGTTGAGCTTCGGGTGTCAGTTCTCCACATGGAAAACAGACAACTGGCTGTGGGCTTTAACAGGCTCATGGGACCTTGTGCATACCACTACGAGCACGTTCCCGGCTTCACGCTGTTCCAAGGCTGCCGGCAGTCAAATTGGCTGGAGAAGTCCAGAACGGGGGATTTGGGATTTGGCTCGAGAAGGCACGGATTTGGGCGGAAGGTCCAACTACACAGGGCTCTATAGGGTTTAGGGCACTGTTTATCTGAAGCAGGGTTCCATGAATGACTTTGGACTGTCTCAGCAATGTGTGAGTCACGAAGAGCTTCCTGGTGCAGATGAGCCAACATCGGCTCGTTGAGGCCTGCGGTTTAGCCACTTCTGCAAGGTGGAGGTTTAAGCTTTATCAGGCTGAAGAATGGAAAACGGAACATCAGGCAGTACTGTAGCATCGCTTGAAGAACATGCATACGGCAGATATATAGATATGCTGATTGCAGAGGCGCTGGGTTGAACCCGAAAGGGCCTGAACCCTAATCTTAGTGCATATCATGGGTAGTCTCATGGCGTCCCTTACAAGAAACCCTAAGCCCTACACCCTACATAAACCCCGTCCATCCATTGTCAAGACGCTCCGGAGGCGTCATCGCCCGTTTAGGACCCAAGAGGTGCTTGAACGCCATCATGATGGAATTCCAGAGCACTGTCCTGGGCTGAACTAATGCGTGGTTTAAGGGTTAAGGGTTTATAGGGGTTAGGGCTGAGGTAATATAGGGCCTTGAAAAATAAGACTAAGGTTTTGGGGTACATTATAGTATGATTATAGCGAGGAACCCTAAGGGAATACTATTGATGGAATTCCGAAGCACTGTCTTGGGGTGCACGAGGCTGTCATAAGGTTCACGAAGTCGTCACAACGTCCTATGGATAACCCTAAACCCTAAACCCCAAACCCTTCTATGAATTTGTAAAAGTCTAAACCCTAAACCCTAAACCCTAAACCCTAACCGCGCTTGGAATGCGGCAAGCTAAAGGGGAAGTCTGAGCGTCAACCCCCTCTCCACCCCGAAATCATCCGAAATTCCCGCACCCGGCTCGAAATCTAGGGTTTAGGGTTTAGGGTTTATCATCCTAATCTCAGGAGTCTGAATTCCAAACCTACAAAATCCAGATCCTATCTAAACACTGCTCCTGAAGCCAAGAAGCAAAATACTGATTTCTAGACCACTGTATACCAATCCTGATTTTTTCAACCCCGATATCTCACCCAGATCTCGAAGCCCCTAGATACAGATCCGGATAGCAAGCCCCTGCTGTCTCAGCTTCTTGTAACTCATCGCAATCATTCCCCGATACAGGCCGCCAACACCTTCCTGAGCTCGAGGGCGGCAGGGTCTCAAAAAAATGCGGTGCCCTCAGAAGGAAAAGGTTTGCGGTTTAGGGTTTAGGGCGGGAAAACAATGAGACGATCAACAAAAACCCGACACGGCCCTTCTGAAACCCTGAAGCCCAGAACCGAAGACTAAAACTCATACCCAAAGCTCGCAGCTTCAAAACCATATCCCCTAAGCGCTAAACCCCAGCACTGCAGTTCAGAAAGTCAGTGGGTCTAAAAATGGGTTATCGTCTCCCCTCTTCTTCCTTTTTTTATATATCGATACTATGATATACCCCAGAAGCGTATCGTAACTATCCTATATCCGAAGAGTAACCCTATATACCCCAACACCCTGTTCTAGGTACTAAGGCCCCTGTCGTTTTTGTTCGGATGGCTTGGGGCTCAAGGCCAGACCGATGAGCCAAGCCGCAAGGAGCAACACTTGCCTCATGACCGAGGGGAAAGCCTTGACCAGAGCGGTAAAGCTTCGTCGGTGGAAGGTTTGGGGTTGAGGGTTCAGGGCTTAAGGGTTAAGGCTGTTCTTTGCTAAGGCCTTAGGGCTAAAGGCTTTAAAAAGGGTCTAGGGCCCAGGGTTGCAGAAATCGGGCCTGGGGCTGGAGGCCCTAAACTTCAACCCCAAAGCCGAAACCCTAAACTCTAATAACCGCAAACCCTTTTCAGCACGGACTGAGGTGCCGGCCAGCGCTCATGCAACCCTCACCCCATCTTAAGGCAAGAGCGCGCCCACCGCAAACCCTAAACCCTAAATCCCAGACCCTAAACCCTAAACCCTAAACCCCAAACCCCAAACCCTAAACCCCAAACCCCAAACCCCAAACCGCAAACTTTGGAGTTTTTGGGGTTTAGGGGCGGGTGTTCTCTTCAAGGGCGGCCTCATGATGCGAAGACGGGTGACAGAGATGACCACACCAAGGACGGCAACAAAGCGTTCCGCGCTGACTGTCATGAAGCAACAAGCAGTTGCTATGAGTAATAGAGGGGCCTTAAAATAATTAGAATAGTGTTTTGGGGGTATATTAGACTATATACTTGTAATAAGGAGCCCTCAAAATAGTATTGGTAAATATCTAGGCGTCTACAGTAGCTTCGTTTTTACCAAGCAACTTTACCTTTACTAGGATCACCCAGGTTTCAGGACGAAGTATGATCACCATTGGGTTCGTCCGCTCGGAGCAGCGAGTTTACAAGTGGCCTGTTTGAGGCAGCCTCGAAGCCCTAAATCCTGATCCCGACGAACTAAGTTTTCATGTCACGCCCCAACAACTCTGCACCCTAAGCCAGCTTTACCCAGCCATCAATGCAACTGCAGCTTTAGTAAAACCTAGACTCTGAAGCCTGCGACCTCAACCCCAACACTTCAATCCCTCAAACCCATAACCCGAAACCCCACAGCCCCAAAACCCACCACCCCAAAAAACTCATAACCCTAAAACCTATAACCCTAAAACCCACAACCGTAAAACCCGCAGGAGCCCAACAAAGAACCGAGCCTGACCCGAGTAGACCGAAGCTGCTGTCTGCTGCAGCACCTCCCAACCCAATGGGTCCAAAGTACCTATTTGGGGGTTTCCCAAAATAGGGGACCCTAATTTTGTACACTAAATCATAGGATCCTTATTATAAGGTACCCCTAATTTTCGGGAACTCCCATATAGGTACCTTCAAGGGTGCATTTCAGGGTGTAGGGTTTAGGGTTCCCGTAAGGGTTTCCTAAGTACCTCCATAGTAGAATGTAGAATTTACATATTAGGAATCATAATTAGGATTTGGGAAAGTATACCTATACAGTAGAATGTAGGAATGTAGGGTTTCCATTTTAGGAATCATTGTTCTGCTTTGGGCAAGTATCCCGTTTGTTTTGTTTTAGCTGCTTAGGGAGGTTGGTGCAGGGTCTAGGGTTTAGGGTAGAGAGATTTAGGCTTATGATTTTGGGGTGGAGTTTCCGGCTTAAACTGTTCGGTATGGACTTATGGATTTACTGTCGGCTCGTTGCTTTTGCGTGCCTGTTTCGGTCAAAAGGTTTAGGGTTTAGGGTTTAGGGCTTCCGAGGGACAAGAAAGGAAGCTTCCTCAAGGGGCCTGCTCACGGGATATAAAGCTTGCGATGTAGGGCCCTCCTTGGTAGGGAATGAAGAAAGCTCCCGAAGCCTTGTTGCACTCTGCACCCAAAAACCCAGAAACTTCAGAAACCCAAACACCCCAAATCCTACACAATGAACACTACACACCTTAGACTCCACACAAAACCGACATCCCAAACCGTAGGCCATAGTTTCCCTACGCCTTAAAGCCAGCTCTAAGGGTCTAGTCTAAAAGATCCAAAAGTTAATTAGATACTTGGGTTTAGGATAGTAGGTTTGAAGGTTAGGATTTGCATCTGGGCTATCCCTAAACTCTACACCTGGCAAAAGCAACTTCATAACACCCTCATAAAACCCTTATACAACCCTTCCACAAAACCTGCGCCAAAAAAACAACTTCCAACACCTTTTTTTCAACCCAGACTCTGTTGACAGCAAACCCTTACACCAAAAAACAACAAACCTTTGGAGAAACTGCCCCGGAGCCGAATCAAGAGTTCGCCTTGGCCCGAATCAAGGGGTACGTCAAGACGGTCGCCACTATCCTCGGTGCTTGCAAAGGCTTATTTCCACAATAGTCCAAGGAAACAAAGGTTAAACTTTCAGATAACTAAAAAATTTTAAGACTAGAGCCCAAAAAGTTTAAAGTTTGGGTATTGGGGAACTAAGAAGGGAAGTGTCAGGCTCAGGTTTTCCCCAAACCCGAAGCCCTACCTGTAACTTTCTTTACCTACAGTTTAGCAGCCACTACCCCTTACTGCATAGGTAGAAACCATGAAACTGCAGGTGATTAGACTTCAAAGGTAAACCCTAAACTCTAAACCCTAAGGCCAAAACCCTAAACCCGTTTTGCTGTAGGCTTGCAAGCAAGTACGCCTGGTAGGTTAAAGCCAAAACCCCAAAACCCTAAAACTCTAAACCCTAAAACCCTAAACCCTCAAACCCTAAAGCCCTAAACCCTAAACTCTAAAGCCCTAAAGCCCTAAAACCGTAAAACCTTAAACCCTAAACCCCTAACCCCTAAAGCCTAAACCCTAAAACCCTAAACCCTAAAACCCCAAACCCTAAAACCCTAAATCCCCAAAGCCTAAGCCCTAAAACCCCAAACCCTAAGTTGGGTTTCGGGGTTTCGGACTCTCGCGACTCAGACTCTCCAGGCGAAGCGGGGGGGTCGACTCGCACACTCTCCCTAAGGCTCCATGTACCCATATAGTAAATGGTTTAGGGTTTAGGGTTTAGGGTTTAGGGAAACCCTAAACCCCAAACCCCAATAGTAAATACTTGGCCTTACCTATAGACTCCATTGTAGTTCCTTTTTTCGGCTTAACCAGTTATATATTAGAGATTGTATAAGGTATCCCCAGAAAGGAACTATAATGGAGACTACAGGTAAAGTACCTATATAGGGACCCCTTTAAGGCTTAGGTATCTACTATATGAGCACATAGAGCCTTTGGGTCTCAGAACGCAGGCACGGAACCCAAGTACTGCAGGGGCCTTACAAATTAGAATAGGGTTTTGGGGGGTAGATTAGAGTATACTTATAATAATGAGACCTCAAACTCGTATTGGTAATGATTTAGGCTTCTATATGAGGGTCTAGGGTTTAACTAGGGTTTCGGGTTTAAGTTTTTTGGCCGCTCGCCTAGCCAGGACCCGCATTGCAAGGTTGGAAGGTGTCGGACTGGAAAGCAGGAATCCAGACTCTAGACTAGATTGAAATCGCAGCGCGCAGCACATGTAGTTTGAGTCTTCGACTCGCACACTGCAACATGGCAGGCTTGCTTGAGGTTTAGGGTTTGGGGGTTGGCCGTGGCGGGGATCATTAAGGGCCTTCCGTGGGACATACTCTTTCGATGATTTCAGAATGAAATGATGATGATACCAGTAAAGCCCCTGCCAGCAGAGTCGATACTTGAATCACAGCTCTAAGCCGGCCTCTAAAGGGATCCTTACAATCCGGATACTGCCAGTTAAGGGTCTATGTGAGGTATACCTCAACCCTAAACGACTCTAAACCCTCATGTAACCCCTGTTTTCTGAACTGCCGCACGGGCTGACAGGACTTGGTAGCATTGCGGCGCATGAACCACCCAATAAACCCTAAACCCTAAACCCTAAACCGCTTCTCTCGCAAGTTCCACTTCCTTGACTAATCTTTAACCGCAAGGCTTCACAGTCTTTCATAGGGGCCGTAGGACCAGTAATTCAAACAAGGTTCTGAAGTATACGATGCTTAAATTATACTAGGAACCTGAACAAGGAGTACGGCTAGCAACTCTCTCAGCCCCTATAGAAAACTTTGCAACAGGTCTCTTTGACAAAGCTGTCACAGCACCCAGCGCGGCGGCACTATGCTCACGTGCCTCAAGGCGCTGAGGTCTGGAGAAGCCCTACAGGTTTAGGGTTATCGGGTTTAGGGTGGCAGGATCAATCAAGGGAATCGAAACAAGTTCTCTCGGGATTCGGGCTTACAAATTTGTGGAGGGAGGATACACAGCGCAGCAACTGCGGGGGTTAAACTTGCTTTGATACCCCAACGGCATGTTTTGGATCACCGTCATCACGATCATCATCATCATCATCATCATCATCATCATCATCATCATGTTAACCATCAGCACAATCATCGCCATCAGAATAACATAAACATCAACACGGGCAACGGCAACAGCACCAACGACTACTTCGATTCCAGCAACGACAACCCCTACTCCTACTCCCTACTCCTACTCCTACTCCTACTCCTACTCCTACTCCTACTCCTACTCCTACTCCTACTCCTACCCCTCCTACCTACTCCTACCTACTCCTACCTACTCCTACTCCTACTCCTACTCCTACTCCTACTCCTACTCCTACTCCTACTCCTACTCCTACGCCTACGCCTACTCCTACCCCTTCTCCTACTCCTACTCCTACTCCTACTCCTACTCCTACTCCTACTC